GGGTGTCCAGGACGATGAAACCGCCACCCAGTCCTTTTCCACCCCCCCGAACGAACAGGGCCTTGCAGGAAAAACACTTTGCTACTAGTAGCGATTGCCTATGATGGCCTCAACCTAATAGTGATGGCCTAAAACCTAATAGTGATGGCCTAAAACCTAATAGTGATGGCCTAAAACCTAATAGTGATGGCCTAAAACCTTGAGAATAGTAAAGGGTTCCATACATGTCGATACCAGGTCCCACAATGTCCCACATACCTGTTGGTCGCTACGGCTCTATAAATAAATATTATAGTATAAGCAAGGCTATGTGTGCAGTGTTCATCTTTTTGCTCTGATCTGACCTGCACCTGACGAGCTGAAATGGACAAGTCTCATCTGAAGGAGCTTGAAGACAGCAAAGCAAATCGCAAAGACCAGGATTGCCACGTCCGGCTGGTCCTCTTCGGAAATTGGACTAAAAGACGGGACAGGCCCTGACTAGATCAGTCGACAGTCGAACAAGTCCTGATCAGTGCTCCTATGTGGTCGCTTCGAGTGTACGTGCCCGAGCCCCTGAAGTGAACAAAATGGCATGCCCATCCGCGAAGAAATCCCGTGCAACCTCTCAACGCAAAAAATTGATATTGCCTAGTATAGAAACATCTAATTAGAAACTAGAAACACTACCATGGAGGAACATGTTGACAGCCCCAACGAAGGTTCCTACGCTCCAATCATGAAAGTACGAAAAGGCCTGTGGCGAAAGAAGAACATTGTCTTTCCGTCCACCCATGCCGTCCATGCAAGCGCTAGCATTCCAAAACAATTCTAAACATGGTTGGCCTGACTTGGCCTGGCTTCGTAGCCTAAAATGTTGTTTTTTTTGGTAAGAACCACTGGACAAAAGTGGTTGGAATCCTCAAGGACCTTCAAAGTGACCCCTTTGGAGTCTCTAATTGACCTCTTTTGGGGACTAAGTGACCTCAGCGACTGGGATCTCAAAAGTTCAAAATTGAAGGTCCTGGCTAGGGCAAGGTTTGTTGGATAGACCTTAAATTAGCTACTAGTAACAAGGGCATTTCTACAAGAAGCAACCAGTAGCAAAGGGCATCGCTACTGGCATCGCTACTAGTAACAAGGGCATCGCTATTAGTAGCTAATTAGCAGGGACACATCGATCCGCATCCAGTTTCTGGAGGTAAAAACAAGACCCCCAAACTTCCGATCTGCACACTGGTTGACAAGCGTTGCTGGCAGAAACCTTTTGGCCTACTTCATCAACAAGGCTTCCGTACACTTCCGGAAGCACGATAACTTTAATCTGTTTTGGACGGGGGTCCACACAGGCTTGTACCCTTCAACATCTATATATGTTGCGTCTTAGACTCTTAGACTCTTAGACCAGGTACTGGAGTTACTGGAGGCCCCATCTTCAATGATTTCAGTGGTACCAGCTCAGACCCCAGCAGCTTCCAAAGACACAACTCCATCTGTCTCTGCTGTCACAAGCGAGGACATTCCGTCCAAACGAACACCCGAAACACCGAAGTCGTCCTTGTAGTCCGAAGTGTTGATGACATAGTCATAGCCTCAGAACCACGCTGCACCACAAGCTCCACCGGAACGCGATTCCCAAACCTGTGTCTATTTGCAGGGCATGCTATGGCTTATTATGGCTATGTGCACAGTGGCCTGCAAAAGCTTATTTAAAAAGGTTGGTAATTCCACCCCGAAGAAGAAACCACACCGACCTGAGCAGCTCCAACGACAAATCCCTTCATCTCCAACGAGTTACGACCGTTCACTGTCCACATCCGATTTCCATCATGTATATCTTGTAATAGACTTGTATTTATATAAAGATCTAAGATATATATGTATATATAGAGAGAGAGAGATTGTGTGTGGAAAGGTAAAAACATCATTCATGCCCATCTTAAGAGGCCGATCAGACATTGCCTCACATTGGTCTATGCCGGATCTGCACGATCGCCATCTTGGTTAATGACATTTGTGACACATCCCACACACTTCATGGGACTGGAATATTCACCTACAGAACCACCTCTTTTCAACCACCTCTTCTACTCACAGAACAGCTCCAGCTGACCTCAAAACCACATGGCCCGCATGAGATCATGATCATGAGTATGATTTGGACGATGTGTTCATCATTGGAGCTATAGTAACATGTTTATCATTGGACAACTAATGCTGGTTCAACTACTTGGGCAACATGTTCTGTTCAACATCCTCACAACTACTTGATCATTCAACTGATCCACAATTGGTTCATGACTATATAGTTTAACCAAAAGTCAACATGGTCTGTTCAACTACTTGGTCATTCCAGCCGACCCCAGTCGATCCCAGCCGTTGGGTCGCCCAAGCCGTTGGAGAGTTCCTTCTGATCTCGATAGGCCCACCTGAGAGCGCAGCTACAGAGCAGGAAGAGCTGCAGTCGTCCCTGACCTCCCTGGACGTCCAAGACGATTGGAAGTCACATGGTCAACATGGTATAGAAACTGATGTGACAGTAGGCCCACCATGGAAACGCTTTATGGAAGTGCTTTCGAAAACTGTTGTATGCACAGTAGAAATGTACTGTACTTGGTGCCCAGATGTGCCCAGTAGAGTCGATCTAAATCTGGACTTCTAGGGACCTGTGCATCCCAGGAAGGATGCAACATAATTAAGAATCTCCTGAATCGGATGTCTTCTGCAGTTGGACATGCCTGGTATTTTTTCTTGAGTGTTCAGGGAGTCGCAGGAAGTCTCTGGTCCGTTGTTCTTGGGACTTCCTGGTCGTTTCATAGGCATAGGTCTTATTCGGGGGATGATGACCTTCCAAATCAACTCAATACCCCTTTCAACAAACGCTATAGTCAATGACTGGTCACTTGTCAATGACCTCTCGACTTTCTTCATCTCCACGCCAAAAAAAGAAACACGCTGGTCTTGTGCAACTTGACGCTTGTTTTACGGATCTGTATGACCCACCTAATGTAGTCTCTTGATTAATAAACCCCCCCCGGGGTCCCCCCCCTATCAACAATTGAGACTCCAGAACAATATGATAGAACAACAATCAATTGATAAATAAATAAGGAATCCTTAGCTAGCTACCTCTGAAGCTACTCTGGCAATACTCAAAAGGGAAAAAGTAAACTACAACAATAAAAAATATCCCACTACAACTACCCCTCCCCAAAAAAAGACATTATTCTGGGGGCCTTTATTAATCTGTGCAGGGAAAAAAATCACTCTTCTGGGGTACTTTATTAATCCAAGGACCACATTATTCCGGGTTTAGGTGGGTTTCTTGCTTCGAACTCTTTCGCCGGTTCACCGACGACTGGTCCGGTCTGGTCGACTTGCTTCGACTGGGCTTCCTCGCTGTGCGGCGAAGGTCAGCTGCTGGATGCTGTAGGCGACCGGACTGATTTCGATGGCCCAGCCTGATTAAAAGTTATGCAGCAGCGAAAGGAAAGACACTGGGATCATCTGGCGGCAAAAAGAATATTCCAAACATTTCTAAACCCCTGCATCTAAAGGATTTAAAGGACAAACAAACAAAAGCCTGTGGGTTCCAGAGTTTTTCCTGAGCGAAAGCCATCTAGGATCATAGAAATACCATTATTCATGCCACTTTGTAACTCTCCAAGTGGTTTGTGTAGTCGTGCATTGGGGGAGATGAAGACTGCGCGCACGCGATCTGTCTCCCTCTTCGGACATCAACCGGTCCGACCTTCGAGTCGTCCCAGTCCCACGGAGGTTTCATTGAAACTAGGGTAAAAATATGGTGACCATCCCCGTGAGAAACTCGGGGGGGGTTGAGGCTAACTATTCTGTGGTGAAATGGCACCGGGATGACCCGGACCAGTACCAGAGTTTGACCAGTACCACGTGATGGCTCGTTATGGCTACTCTTGACTCAAATGGTCGAGACCGAGACCCGTGGTGACGCCAACTTCTCAGGTTTGCATCTCAAGAGACGCCGACCTTGTCAACAGCGACTTCATCTTCTCAGCATGTTCCAGTCCCTAGACCTCCAAGTACTAGTACCTTCTGAGAAGGTGTTTGGGGTGGCTTTGGAGGGTCCAAATACCTTCTGAGGAGGTGCTTGGAGGTGTAGGGAGTGCTTCATGGTGTTTTTCTTCCGATGTCACGACTCCTTTCGGCGCCTTCGGACCCTGAAACACCAACTGCGGAGCGAACGCGCGTCGCCAGGACACGCATCCATGGGACCACGGAAGAACGGGTTGAAGTGAATCCGTTGAACAACAGGAAGAGCATCCTCCGGTCGTTCGCTCCGGGTGCACGCACACAGGAAGTGCACCGTATGGTGTTCAGCGACGAACAGCGAGCGACCGACGAAAACAACGTGGTTCACTTTGCTGTTTGGGAAGGGCGGGCAAGGGAACTGTTTGAAAAGCAAGGCATTGAGGAAGAGTAGCAGCGAAGAGAAATCGCAGGTAAAGCAAGCAAGGCCAAAACAGGCCACAAGAAGAAACACTTCGGACAGCAATGATAACTCAAAGTTGCCAAATCTGGATTGCATTTTGTGATCACGAAGGAGTGCACAGTCTTGGAAAGTGTTGCACAACCGACAACACATGTTTTCAAAAATCAATATGATTCGGATTGACTCAGACATATTCAATCATATTCGGACCTTTGACCTTTCCAAGCCTCCCCCAGTTGTTAGCCAAGGCTCATAAACGGCGAGGACATGATGATTGCAGTGGTCGAATCTTTTGCCACAGCCGCGACCATCAAATACATCGCTTCCATTGTGACCTGATTCTCGCAAAAAAAAATATCTGCCACGCTTCTTGAGAGCATAATAAGTTCACAAAGGAACACCTGCAAAATCGCAGGGTTGCCTGCCTACCTCAACCCACCGCACCCACCCCGCTTCCTTTGATGCCTTTTCCCAATTATACAAGCATAGACCCCAAACAGCTTCGAAACGGTTCGTTTAGACCAATATTAGTCAAAAATCGATTTCTTGGTACGCCCTACCTTCACCCCAAGAGCAAACTGCTTCATCAATGAATTTTTGTCGGCATTGACATCGCTATTTGTTCGGCCACACTCCTCTCTAGTAAACCGGGACGCAGAGACCAGCCACAGAGTTCAGGGGCGCGGTCAAAACAAGGACAAGAGGAGGACAAGACCCGGACACAGAGACCAGCCACAGAGTTCAGGGGTGCGGCCAAGACAAGGACAAGAGGAGGACAAGAACCCAGCCACAGAGGACAAGAGGAGGACAAGGCCTGGATACAAAGCCCAGAGCCCAGCCACAGAGGACAAGAGGAGGACAAGGCCTGGACAGAGAGCCCAGCCAGAGAGGACAAGAGGAGGACAAGGCCTGGACACAGAGCCCAGCCGCAGAGTTCAGGGGCGCGGCCAGTGAGTGTGGCCAGCCCTTTTTCTTCTATAAGATAGAACCCCAACACTAACTGTTTGGAGAACAATGATATTTCACTGGCCAACACAAAAAAAGGCAGACAACCGCAACCCCCCCAAAAAAAACAATATGGTCATATCTTTTGTCCAGCCAAGAACTAAATCAGCTCCCGCCGTGGCCAAATGTTTTCTGAGGACAGAACAAACGTCCAAAATACAATCATACACATTGCCCAAAACAGCTTCCGTCCAGTCCACACCTTCCATTCCATCTTCTGCTATCTCCGATCTGGGCCCCCCCGTCGTTGGCTCTCCGCCCAACACCGAGCCAACAAATACGACAACTTAAAACAACGGATCCTTGCCCCACCGGGCTCTCTGAAACCGCTTGGATCACCCGCTGGTCAACCGACCAAGAGGCTGACAAGAGCGTGGACCACAAGTAGGCGGAGGGGAACATGGTCCATCGCCTCGGGTCCCGCGGTGCATGTACCGGGCAGCATGCAAATAGCCGGGTTGATCTGGGAGTAGATGTGGACCAGCCATCCACAAGTGGATAGCCCTTGTAGTGGTGGAACGTGTTCAGAGGTGTGTTTGGACATGCTTAGATCACCGCCCCTCATGGGTCGCCTCCCAGGGCCTTCACGGATGTTCCCGACCGCACGGTCGCGACCGGTCGGCAGCCAGGGTACAGTCCGCTCATGGCAAAGAGGATGGCAATGAAGATGCCTTCGAAGTATTGGATATCACAGGTTATCACAGGTACGAGTATGTGTCAGTTTCAGCTGGACTTAACAGTTGGTCTGGAGAGTTTGCCTCTGAAAATTGTGGCAGGACTTCGTTTCCGCTGCATAGGACTTCTAGCCAAGTAGCTATGGACGACCAAGGCTTGGCACAAGTTGAGGACTGTGAAGGAAATGATGTAGGCCTTAGTAAACCAATGGGATTGTGAACATGCTATATACGCCAAGGAGGATCTCTTCAAGCCTATTCTTTCCCACAGGTGAATCCCTCAATAGACCGATGAACTAGCATAACTTTGATGATTCCTCAGATGAGATCATGTACCGTGTTCAGGATTGTACCATACGGTAGCCAACAACAACAACAACAACACCAACACCAACAACAACACCAACAACACCAACACCAACAGCAACAACAACAACATTGTTGATCTGAATTATTGCTGGGATGAGCATCCTTATCGCTGGCTACACGGCCTTCACACCACATGCGCGACCCATGTTGAAGTTGGAATATATATAATGTCATCTCGTATACAAGTAATAGATCCATGTATAAACAGCTTATATCAGTAGGCAACAAGTGCTGGCTCAAATTGTGAAAGTTGGCGATCCTTTTGTTGACTTTGTCTGCCATCATGTGCTTCTGTTGTGCTGAGAACCCGGCCCAATCACTGTAGAGAACCTGGCGTCGGCTGGATCACTGGGAGTGCCTGACTGGAGAACCTCGCTGTTCATGGCAAACATCTAGGATTTATCGTGCGTTCAAGAAAAAACCCTCGCCCAAGTGGTCTGCCATCTAGCAGCCCAACAGGCACTTTCCAGAGCAACCAACACGTACTTGGCACCGTTCGATCGCCTCAGAGGTCTCCATCTTCACGATGGTGCGCTCACCAATGACCATCGGCATGTTCCTTGGAACCCATTTGGAACCGACGGATCTGAGGAACCCTATGTCCAGTACGGCCTGCTGTGGACCCATTTCCAGTTTGCACTATGCCACTATGCCGCTGCCGCTGCCTTTTCGGTGAATTGAACATGAAATGGACGACAACTGGCAGGCTGACCATGCACCTGGCAGGCTGCCTCCTCCTTTGGCTGGGAATTGGGACACCTACGGCCTGACACGGCGGGTAGCATGGGAGTGACACGGCACACGTGGCGCCAGGCACGGCCAGACGACGACCGTTTGGAAAGGAGAAACAAACGATGGCATTTGGGACCCACCTGGGACTGGTACAATCATAATGGATTGGGGCTCTACATCGCCAGTCCTTGCAGCACCCAAAAGTATATACTGTATTTCATGATATTTCCTGCTTGGCCTCTGACTATGCTCGCATACCAACCGGCTCGCCCTTTCATTCTTAAGAACCTGTCTATCCATCTTCCATGTCTCCGTCCAGCACCACACTGAGGGCGGGACTTTAACCCATCAATCGCCGTCGTCATACACAGCCTCAGTCGAATACGGCCACGGACAACGGAAGGCCACTCCAGGAAACCATCAGACAGTGTCCATTTCACACAGAAAACTTTCTTCCTGTTTCACACCACGGTCAACCTGTCAGTCCGAGGACTCAAGTGTTCTGAACCAGCGAACTTTTGTGGTTCATTTTGACAAAAACCTTGAGTCCTCTGGCTATGAATGAATGATAGATGCATGCAAACTTTGCAGGAGGATGCAGGCACTCTTACACTTGCTTCACAAAGTTTATCATGGTATCCTCAAACAATGGCCTCTATACCCAGCCATCAATTGGCGTCAAATTGCATGAAGAAGAAGGAGACCTGCTGTTGCGCCGCTAGCTCCCCAGTACGCATGTAGACGATGCCCACCACCAGTGCCTCTCGTTCAGCTTGGGTCGGGTCTCAGTGGGGACCTGACCGTGGACCTGGTGGCAATTCAGGGTGTGGAAGCGGTAGGTGATTTCGGGACTGGAATCCTCCTTGCAAAAGCAAACTTCAGCGTGTCATGATTCTGCGGCGTTGTTCCTCCAATTGCCCTCTGTACATAACCTCTTGCAGTCAAGAAAACTATGTGAAAACGTGTTGGTGACCTTCTCCTTCACACTGATTGTCTGTGCATATGCAAAATTATTATGTGTTGAACAAACATCACCACAAGTTAATTTCAACCTGCGAGACTCTGGACCGCCGCCTGTTGTGGTGCCCCCCCGCTCCTCCATTTCAATCGATTTCATTAAGATTGCATGCATCAGCAAGTCTGGTGAATTTCCAAACACAACCTCTTGCGATTGACCACACAAAATCCCTTCAAAAACCAGCCTTCACCGCAGCTCCCAACCTAAGCAAGTGTAAGATGCTGCGCTGTAGGGGAAAACCCGCAGGTATCCAGATGGGTCAAGAATCGTGGCCTCAACTGCATCATATGATTCCAGAATCCTGGTTGGTTTTTTTCGTTCTGATCCACCCCTACGTCCACCCCAAAAATTGTTGTTGCAAAGATTCTGCAGTTCCAATCTAGTAGCCCCACTTCACATGGCCATGTGAAACCACTAAATAATTTCGTTCTCGGTCTCAAAACAGCAAGCCAATACCCTTATGTTGTTCAAAACATTTCTTTATCTGTTGAAAACCAAAAATGTTTACCCAACAACACGCTGAAGGTACGCGCGATGGTAGACCATGGAAGAGACCATGGAAGGCCTTCAGTCAAAAACACAAAAACCTGGAGTAGATGATTAGAGTTCCAAACACGGTAAACCGATAAGCTATAGATAAAGCAAACTGATTATTAAGCGGTGGAAAAATTGATGAAATGTTTCCGCGAACACATACAATGCCCCCATCAACCATGTTTAAACATACTGTGAATAAATGTTGCAAAAATACAAAGACAAATAGCTTTCGTCCCGAAACATCACCTTCACGCCACAATGACCGAGGCACAAGTCTGCAACTAAGCCGTTGCGATCACGCCAGCGCAAGCGAACTTGCCGCAGGAAGACGTACCAGAGCTGCCGGCGAAAGCGCACACCGTAGACACCTGCGATTCGTCGCGGGAAAAAAAGTTCAGAACACTCTCGAGACTCTGCTGGGATAGGTGGGCTTGTAGAGGGGAAACCAGGACGGAGTAGAGAACCCGACACACATACATGTACTTTTGATGTTTCATCCAAACTAGAGCTGCAAGCGCCTCATTCCCCAACTGTCAGGTGAGGGTCTCTAGATTCTATGTCAGTGATCCCGGAGCTCAAGCTGGCTCAGGGAGTTCAAAACAAGGACTGGCGCCCGATCCTCATGGTGGTGAGGGTCCAGGATCCAAACATTGCTCAACGAGGTGCACGTGAAGAAGCTCAGGCCAAGAAGCACCAAGACGACTATGGCCCAGTCTGACTTCAAGTCTGCCTCCTTGGGCGGCTGCCGGGAAGACACGGTTGCAAATGCAAATGGCGATGCTGAGCTTCGTGGCATCCCTGTGCTCCAGAACTCTGAGCTGATAAGTCCACTTCTTGGTGCATCATGGCGCGCGGAATCCTGGACTTCCTTGTCAAAGGCGTTGGGAGTGACATGGGCACCAACTTCAAGGCGCTTTTCGCCGCAAGTTTGCTGCATGCGCAGCAGGGCGGCACCGTGAACCCTGAAGACAAAGTTCACAAGTTCAGCCCCTACGCTGTTCGCAACAACCCTTCTCGAGGTCGCACATGCATGATAACTACCGAGCGCAAATACGGATGCTTTTCTGCCGGCAGCATTTGGGCTTTGACTCGTATTGGGTGAACCTATGACACCCCAAGATGCCGCAACGCCGCATATAGTGTGAGTGAGAGAACTCCACCAAATGACGCATGCCCAACACAATGGCCAAGAAGCACCACACCAAGCTGAGGTGACAGAAAGGAGTCGAAGTGGTAGTGGCACTTGGACATTGTTGAACCCTTGAATCTTGAAGGTCAACGGAAAGGTCTACTAGCTCGCCATGAAATCTTCATATCCGCACCGTATATTCCGAAAAGGCGATAAAAACCCAAGCGGCTGCACGCATGTACTCCCATAGCTTCGCGCTCTATCGATGCGCAGCAGCTTGCTGCATAGCCGCGCCATGGTGAGAAAGCACACTCGAGAAGGCATAAATCGGCGCACAGGAGATTTATTAAACCACCCAATCTCTACTGCAGGCCCATGTCAGGCTCTTGGATTGCAGGGAACATCGCCTCATCTGAGAGAATCAACTCATTATCCTTCGTCTTCTGCAATGATTGTCTCTGCACCAAAGCATGTACACATATGCAAGAGATATGTATGAGTTCAAGTACATGTCTTCTGACCAAGCACGCAGTTTCTCCAACAGGGCACCCCAAAGTGCGTCAGGGGATGCTTGCAGTCGTGGCGTGTTAAAGACCTACTTGGGCACTGCGCGGACTGCGCGTCCACCAGAACGGCCCTGCCAGGAGTTTCTTACCAAACCTTCTGTCTGCTTCTTGACTCCTTGGGCTGCTTGCAGAATCTCAGAAGTTTGCATCCCTTGAATTTCTGTTGGCTACCCTGGTCTATCATGTGGAAAGCCAGTGCAAGGACCATCGAGAGCTCAACTCTGTGGCTCTGACGCTGACACCTTGCTGCTCAAATGATCTCACCCACCATCAGCCACCTATCCATCCACCATCCACCTCCCAACCCACCATGTATTCGAGCGTTGGCAGCCTTTCCTTCAAACCTCATCTGCAATGCCCCTCCCACCAACATCCCAAGAGCCAATACCACACATGGGCTGCAGTAGCTCTCATGTACCTTTCCCCAAAACAGTCCTGTCAGCGGACTCTGGAGTGCTTCAACATGTTGGGGCAACGTGGGGGGTTTGGGTTGGCCCGGAAAGCAAACGTTTCCGACCACGGACCAGGGTTCTCCGGGGGGGGCTGGGGACAGCTTCGTTCGTGTTACTAGTTGCGCAAACCGAACTTCACGTTTCTTTGCCGGCGTCATGACGTTGCATTCGCGGATAATTTGATCTTCGCGTGGGCGTTGCGATGCGAAGCTGCAACGAGAGCACGTTGAAGGCCTTGCAGCATTGTGGTTCAGCCAACATCCAGGCTTGGACTCAATGCTACAGCTGTGCAACTCCAAGACGATAAGTTGAGTGCCCCGAAACCCAAAATACCCGGTAAAATGCATTGTTTTCTGGCCCTCTGCATGTTGCAGTCCGGGCTCCCCCCATCAACATGCATTAGTTTGGGCATGGAGATAGATAGATAAATAGATAGAGATAGATAGACCGCAACAATCATTGCTGTGAAACATCCCCTCCAGGAAAATGATGATCTTGTACAAACTGAGCCTGTTTAGCTGTCGAAGGTTTTCTGAAGAAGGTGAACATTCTATCAAAGTAAGGCTGAGGTGATCAGGTGATCTAAGGTATATTACACCTTACCCTGTTGGAAAACAAACACTACAAGTCCAAAGTCGAGAATTTCCTGGCTTCTCTGATTCTCTGATAATGAAACCAATTGATTCGGGCCTGGTTTCATTGTCATCAAATGTCAATCATGCACTTCCACCGCCACCCGGAGTGAACTGTGAACAACATGTGATTTACCAGGACATCCGAGAGTGAACTGTGAGTCAACATGTATCAACACTGCATCAATCAACATTGGATCCCTAAAAACATAAACCACGAGCGTGATCTATGTTATGAGGTCATTCACACCGGAAAGCCACAAATCAAAACCCCAAGTCCTTCACACCAAGTCCCTGGTGACTTGGACGGGTCACTGTTGCGAACTGGTGGCATGTCGCCCCACCTCAGCGCAGCGGTCCGTTCGGTCGATCAAAGCCACGCTCCAAGGCTCCACGGTCCCAGGCTTGCCAGGTGGAACATTTCTAAAAACTGTCGATCGATTCCCTATGTTGTAGCGTATATGTCGTAACACGTATACGGCGACATAACGCATGATGCTTACGCGAGCAGCTTGCCGGTGTGCTTACGCGACTGCAGGTTTAGCTTATACGTTGAGGGGTTGCTTAATACGCCACTGCTTGCGCAACGTTTACGCATCCTTACGCCGCTGGAGGTTTTGCTTACGTACCTCGATATGACAATACCGTCTCAACGTCGGGCTTGCGCCGAAGCTTGCGCAGCCCTTGAACGACAACAGTTTTTGCTTACGCACAGGATCACTCAGCAGGGTTGACCCACAGGTTGAATTCATGACTGAATTCATGGTATCTAGTACGATCTAGTAATTTTACAGCCTGCAATTGGAGGTTTCTATATTCAAAAAACTCAGCCATGCTCGTGCATGAGGAAACACCCAACTAACAAAAGTTCCGTACTTTCTGACATCTTCCAGCCCAATTTGCGTTTTGCTAATCTGCAGGCATTGCTTCTACGAATTGACAAATATCGTGGTTGCATCCCCCTTGGAATTAAGTGGGGGGGGTGGGTACATCAATTTTGTAGTGGAAATACCAAGCGGGATGTGGTTGCTGTCCATTCTGGCTCCTTCACTTCAGATGCTTTCTACGCTCCTTTTTGTCTCAACAGGCAAAATCCACGTCAGCCGGAAAGCTGCACCGTTTACACGTCAATTGCTGCTGACTTAAAGGAGGGAAGGTACATCCGATTCCGTCGAAAAGACAAGACCAGCCGCTCCCGAACCAAAAGATCAGCACCTAAAATCACTGAGGGCCATTCGGTCAAACGTAGGACTTGGAAAGCTTCGACATCTCCTGCCAAAACCGGATTTTCCCGCACACAGCAACCTTCCGCAGAGTTGCCAATGCCAAAGACCGCCGGCAATTCTTCTGTCCGCACATCCACAAACTTTCTCTTCTTCTCCGGCACGGAGCCGGATGCTCCAAAACCCTTGTTTTTGACCTTGGGCTTCTTCATTCCCTTGGCTGCATCCTTGTTGCAAAGAGTATGGGCAGAGGCCAAATCGGGAAAGCCTTGTATGAACTTCACCTCCTCTAAATCTTGCCCTGGAGTTGCCAACTTCACTTGACAAGCATAGAGCTCATTGCCACTCGGTGTCCTGATCTTCAGGAGGGGTACGGGAATCATCAAAGAGACATCGAAGGGCAAAGGTGCCTTGCGCTCCTTGGGAGCAGTAGCAATCTGAGCCTTCTTCGCATCGATGTCGAAGTCCCAGTCAAAAAGCGTGAGAAAATCCAATCCTAAGATGCCTGCACAACCTCCAGGCACTGGCAACTCGTCATCTGGAATGGTTGCAATGAGTACATCTCCACATGAAATTTTTCCATCCGCCAGCCATGCATTGCTGATCGTCGCCTGTCGAATGCCTGAACCCGGAGCCTCTTCCTTCGCCCAATCCGGCTGGCCACTGAAGCATGCTTGGAAGAGGTTTTCCACCAAATTTTCCTTCATGATCGAGTGGTAACATGCGGTGTCCACTACAAAGCGTAGTGGGCTACAACCAACCTCAAGGTCCAGGGTGATGACTCGTGCCTTGGTTTTAAAGCCATGGTCACTGATCGCTCTCATCAAATGTATTCGAGCTTCAGCTCCACCGGCTTTTGGTTGTGCCGCCACCGGTGGTGGTTCTGCGTCTTTGAAAGGATTGGTTTTCTTCTGCTTTTCTTTTGGCTCCTCTTTTTCCTCAAGCTCTTTCTCCTTAACTTCTTTCTGGTTCACCTTCTCCTTCTTCGGCTCCTCCGTCACACCTTCGGAATGCCCATCTGAAGCTCTTTCCATCGCCTCGATCGCCTCCGGGGCCTCCAAAAGCTCCAGCAGCGACTCCCGGTCGACGCGGCCCTCCGTGTTCAAACCAAGCTCATTCAATTCTCTTCTCAAATCTCGTGCCCTCAATGCTCTAAGCTCTTCCATTCTAGAGAGGACCTTCTTGGATGGAGACAATGCAGTGGAAGAAGAGGACGCAGAACCAGCTTCTAGGAGCATCTTCCGGCCCTCCTTTTCAAGGACTTCCACCAGCGACTCACCTAACTGATGATTTTGGACCTCCAAAACATCGCGTTCAATCACTATTCCCAACATGTCCACAAATCCCAAACCCATGGGGTTAGGGTTCTGAACATGGCTATTTGAGGGATTCTCAGAGAATGTCTCTTTTCCAAAAAATCAAAAAATCTACCAAAGCATCACCCCGGTGGCGATCAACACACCCTGCGGTGGAAATGCCTAAGCCTTCCAGCTCTTCCCGCAGATCTCGCGCACGCATGCCCTGCATCTCGCGAAAGCGCTCCTCCAAACGGGCCATGTCGATGACCTGCGAGCCCACCTGGCGGCTGCCGACCCCGAGACAAGATCAGAAGCCACAGATTTCGGTGCTCGGTTTTCACAGAAAATAGCAGAAGAGTCTGAGAGCCTCTGGGGTGATATAGAGGGATGAGAAGCCCGTCCCAAATATGAGACATTCTTCCACAGCTTCCCACTCGCCTTCTTCTTCACTTCTCGTGGTAGACGCGCAGCTCCGCCCGCCACCAGGCCCGCCAGGCCCGCCACCCGCGGACCGTGCGCCGTGAACGCCGCATGCGCCGCTCGGCCGCGCGGTCGGAGGGGACTCGTCGGGGCGACCGGTCGAGGCGGCGTGCCCGTCCAGGCGGGAAGCTGCATGGCTCGGAGTGGTCGTTTGATGTTGTTTTTGATGGTGTTGTTGTTCAAAGCAGAAAGGTGCGCAAAGAGCTCATTTATATGATAAGTATATAATATGCATGTATGTATAGTCATTATATATATATATATATGTGTGATTGCTTAAATTGCCTATTTTGGTTATTATGTAATGTTATGTGTGGTTATGTTAGGTTCTAGAGTCTAGAGATCATGCATGTTCTGCGACGTCATGGAACAACATCATGCTCATGCTTCGGGACCATGGCTCGCTCCTTGGTGGGAAAGCCTCGGGACGATGCCCGCACCACGGTGATTGACGTCAGTTAGAATTCTCCTTGTAAATTGAACGGTCCATGTTGATTGACAGGCTCTGAGACAATTCATGAACATGCGCTTGAACCAGCACTCAGTGGCAGACCCCCTGTGTTTGAAGTTGACTCGTCTTCACAAAGGCATGTACAAATCTTGCCCCCTTCTGCTGATTGTCTCAAGTTGCACTATACCGCGTCTTGCGTTAAAGCAGTCTTTGATGATGATCTTCTCATGCCTTCACTAGTCTTTCACGACACAGCTAAGCTCGCAAAGCTCGCACTGTGTGTGGCAGACGTCGACCAAAAACACTTCTCTTCCTCCCAAATGATCACACGCCTGGCTTCTTCGTCACATCTTTTCCAACTCGCCCCAGCTCCCGGCCCCCCGAGGTTCCCTTCATGAAAACCCAGCCGCGACCCAGGTCGCGCGACGGCATCCCGGTCTCCACCCCCTACACTCTCCGCGCGAGGGCAGTGAAAAGCAGAAAAAGAACAGGCACCAAGGGACTCCAGCATCTGTGCGCGGACGTTCTCCAGCAAATCCAGGGCGCTGGGCATCTCCAGCTCCAAGCCTCCGGAGGTGGGGTTGTTCAAAATCAGTGATGAAAAGAATAGAGGGGTTGGTACCAATTACATCCATATATTAACCAAGGTATTCCCTCGGGTTATATGTTTTTACACCAACTAACCAAGGTATTCCCTCTATTAATCAACCAAGGCCGAACCAAGGCCATCGATCACGGCGCTCGCGCGTGGCCGCAGAGTCCTGCCGTGCGCGCGCGGGCAGGTGTGTGTCGCGTGTCGTGTGTCGTGTCAGCAAATACTGGGCCGGGCTGACCAGTGAGAAACATCTAAAATATTGCACATAGCTTCAGGGGAAGATCTGGCCTACTACTTCAGTGAACACATCGAGATTCGAGATAGATTGCATTGATGTGACATGGTGAGATGTCGTGCAATTATTTCATGCGGTCAAGTTCCAAACTGGGAATGTTCTTTCGCCTTGTGAAGGTTCTCCTCTATGTGTGTTTCTTGCTGTACATACATCAGCAATATGTATATACAATATATATATATATATTAAGTCTTAAAGTAGTACTGATGACACAACACATGAAAACAACAGCAAACACATCATAAGTACCGGCCGGGAACTCCCTGTATCTCCAAACGGCTCCCTGTTGAGTAGCTCAGTATGAATACCCCGGACCCAAGCCGCCGCTCCCTCCAAAGCGCGCTATGCAAGACATTGCAAGACATTATAAGACAATGCAAGACTATGTCGTGCTATGTCGCGCTTGCAAAAACTAGGTCACTGCGCCCCTAGGTATGGCCGTGCGTTTTCTGCTGTGTGTTTTCTGCCGTGTGTTTTGCCTGCAAGTGTTGATGTTCTCCACGTTGGTGCGTCGTTTTCTCGACCGGAGTGTTGTTTGGGAGGAGGTGAAATGTGACGTGCTGAAACGGAACCCGCTCGGAATGTTCGACCCGAGGTGCATGCGCCACGCAACGCCATGGCCCCTTTCGGGGCGAATCAGCTCGGTGACCCCAAACAACGACGACAGGATCCCTGGAAGGACTCATCACGGAGGAAAGCCACCTGTAGAGGATTTCATGGTCATCCGAACTCGGGGGGCCATCCACGTAGTGGCCCATGAGAATTCCCATCCAAGTGTCTACCGCAGGCGCTTCCTTACTGGGTGTCCAATGGAGACCTATAAGTCAGTGTAGGGTTGTCCATTGGTGACCCGTTGGAAGCAGCTGGTATATTGTTCTTCGTATAATTGTTCAACATTGAAGGACTAACATGCCCCGTCCGAGTTTGCTCCGGCTCGGAGCCTCCGATACTAAAGGCCCATACCTTGGCAAAACCGTCTCCAAATAGTTTGGTCCACCTTTCTTGGAAGAAGTCTTGGTTTCAATACCACCTGCCTTTACTTGCCTTTTGATGGGGCCTCTCCTAAGAGACTTCGTCCTTTGGAGCCTCTCCTCGTTGTCCCCGAAGAACTCGCCCAGCTTCCGAGTTCCACTCGTTCCAGCGTGATCACGCCCGAAAAAGAAGGTGAGCCCCACCAGCGGATCCAAAGCGATTCAGAAAGAAAGTCTGCAAAGACTTACTGTAACTGTTACTATATATATATATATATTATACATGTTAAATCATATTACCAGCTGAGACTCCATATTTGGAAAAAAACTGCTCATTGTCATGCCATGGTTATTCTTGTTTAACAATTCTTCTACTCATCTCTCCATATTGGACACCTCATTCTCCGCCTTCGTTGGCGCCTTCTGGCCCACCGCGCCTCGTTCCACTTCTCTGAGCACTCGTGGCTCCAAGCGATCTCCTGGCCAGTCAGGTCGCGTCGACGCGAACCGGTCGCCAGACGTGACCGGAGCTCCCGAGAAACAGTAGAACGGTTGCCACGGTCGATCTTTTGGGGAGACGGTGGATGGAAACGCTTGAAATGGTGGAGTTGGTTGAACTGTTTTTGAAATGGTCCACCGGTCCGCCTGGGCTGCTGCTTCATATAGTGGGTTTGGATGGTTTGGGCACCTGCCTGATCTTCGGATTTCATCTCTTCAGGGCGCCATCCACAGAAACGCTCCAGGGAGCTGTAGGGGTTGGTACTAGGCTAGTACTATAGGGCTATGCAAAAGCTATCACACCACCACCAACAGCAACAATGGATGGTTGTGGTTGGGACCAACAGCCCAACATTGAGATGGACATTGGACAAATCTTATTGGTTCAATCTTGTTTGTCCCCGTACAAAGTGACTGGCCTGACTAACCTGTCTTCACATTATTTCAATATTAAAAGAAATTCACTCTGCCATGGGGCGGTACTGCTCCACAAAGAGGTCCACTTGAGAGTTGCTGGCATCTGGTGTGACCAGGTCCATGAAAAAATCCACCGGATTGGCGTGCCTGGCCCGGAGAATCGAGCATCGAGCACCGGACACCGCTTCGGAGCGGTTCGGATTGGAATCCACTGAACACGAAACGACCGAGATGTCCCAAATGACCCTGCATAGTGATTCTGCAAGTACATGCGGATCATGATCCGGCATGTACTTCGGGATATTTACGATATGTTGGGGGTCGCCTCAGTGTGGGTGAGCGACTCGCTCCACCCAACGTTCCCTGCCGGGAAAGCAAACTCACGTGCGTTGGGAATGATGGGATCAGGCATCGGATCTAATTTGGTTCTATTTTCAAACTCCCCTGCAGATTAACATAGACCCTCCAAACCACTGGGTTGTAGAGGAAAATGGTCTTCCACCGGTCAATTTTCGGGTTCCATGTTAGTTTGCGGGAGAGTATCTATCCCAGACACACCATGGGACTGCCATATATGCCTACATTGACCCCTTTCAACCCCCCCCTGGCCTGATCGGCAGTCCTATGGCAGTCCTAGACAGGTCGTGTCTGGGTATCCTTTTGTTCTGTGGTTCTGGTGGTGATGCCCAGCATCAAGCATATGCATAAATATGTCTAAATACATGGGACATACATGGGCATTACCCCAAACTGACCATCACTGAGCAAAAAACACCTCCATCCCGAGGTGCATGGGCACGTCAAAGCCAACTTGGTGCAAGTAGTCTTCCACATCCTGCGATCCGTTCTCCGGTGTCTGAACTCCAAGCACAAACGAAACCAAACAAATACCCAGCAGCCCACAAGCCGACCAACTTCCCAACCGGCCGAAACTAAAAAGGCATCACGCCATCGAACAAAACCAACCAACCAACCAAACACCGTACAAGTATGTGGCCCACCAAATTGTTGGAGGCGATGCATATAGCCTGTTCAAGTCTTGCCAGCCTTACCTCAAGAAGACCGTCTGCAAGCAATTTACAAAGTTTAAAAAAACGGCCCCACAGTCTATTTGTTGATAGGTAACCCATCATGTGGGATTTGAGGCCCTCGAAGGAACTGATTGAGGGGGCCTACGCTCTCCCTAGACTTGACCCTGATTGCGTGAGAAAATCCTTTACCAACTAGGAGCAAGAAGCTACTAGGAACAAAGGGCATCGCTACTAGGAGCAAAGACGCTACTAGGGGCTCCAGGCCTTACTACTAGGAACAAGGTTCGCTACGAACGTTAGAACATAATTTTATAAAACATAATGTATCTGTTTGACACAATTTCATTCTTTTTGACACACCCCCTGATGAAGGGTTGTTTGATCCAAATCGGATGGTTTTATAAAGATTCTATATGCATTAGAATCATTAGAACGAGTTTGTCTCCAGCTAGCTCTCCATCTTTCCTAGAGAGAGGAAGATGTGACATGCTTCCTTGGGCAACCCCACCACCCACCTGGAGTTCCCCCGCCACACGCACCCCCCGCGGTGTTCACACATTGTCACAATGCACCTGCGGTGGACCCGCTCCTCCATCTTGCCATTGTAGACGGCCCGGCCAGGGTTCGCCGTCATCAAGACGAGCTCGTCGAAGAGCTGGGCGACCTCTATCCTGGGTTGGTGAATCACCTTAGCCACAACGCGGAAGAAAAGCAGAGAATCTAAAATCAAGATCTTTGGATGCACCTACCTGGTGTCGTTCTGCTCGAGCTATAGACGCTGGTCGGGCTCACATGGTTGAACGACCCATCCCGGGTTTGGTGTGGTTTGGTATAGTCTTCTTGGAGATTCAAACCCATTTTAAAAAAAAACACACACTGACATACGTACCAAACCATAACCAAACAGTAGTGGCATGTTGGGGAATTGGAGATTCAAACTCCTTCCCGCTGACGAAGCCAGAAACAATCATGGGCGAATATATATATATATATAATAATTCAGATATGCCTGTGGCTCAAAACCAGGGGTGACCTTGTGCTTCTTCCAGGGGTTCGGTGGGGTCAGGCTCCGTAGTTTAATACGCAATCATGTACTAGACAAAGTACACTCACAACTCAAACAAGTCCCATGGTTCTTGCTTCCAGCTTGGTGTTTTTTTTTTTCTCGTATCTTCTGGCACAACCACCACACAACAACAACCACAACCGCCCAAGTTGCCACCAAAACAATGACGTTGTAGAAGCGAGCGATGTGCTTCATATACCTTCACCCACTTCAGCAACGCTCGGCCGAGCCGAGGATCGAGGATCGACTAGCAGTGTGGAGCGGATGCGAGTCGAAGAACTGCAACGATTCGTTACCAGTGTCTCAGGATGCGTTTTGCCCGATGAAACACACCTCAAATCAACTGCTATAGCTATTGGAATAAAATATCAAAATCCCTTCCGCTTATTAAAAAAACATACACAAACACGCCCTCACCGCTTTCACCGGTTCCGCGCTCTCCGGGGCTCCTCACCGGATGCATGCCTCTGCATCCGTGGCCGAGAGGCCACTCGTGGGTTCATCGCAGAAGAAGACCTCTTCATCCCCGCGACGTGAAGAAGCGGCACCGTTCGACCGGATCGTTGGAAGCTGTTCGAAGCTGTGGGATGGGAGGAAATCGATCGGAAGCAGTCCTGACTTGGAAGATCGAAAGCAACTCGCCGTTCCGAATCGTAGATTGATCCAGAAGCACTGTTGGTGTGAGAAAGCACTTGCATGCAGGCAAGGAGACACAGAAACAAAAGTTCTAAACCTGCATTCGCGTGTTTCTATGATGCATGCTGAACAAAGCATGATCGAAAAGGAGAGAAACACATTCCAAGTTGGGCATCCTGGCATCCTGTAAGGAGAGACCTCCCTGGTTGTTGCACCCCGTTCATCGTGCAAATGCAAAAGGAGACAGTAAGACTACTGTAACAACCTTCTTAAAAAGGGGTCCTTTACTGGCACCTACCAGCGTGTGTGTGTGTGTCACACTCTGTATCTAAGAGTTTCTTCCACTCACTCATTTCACGCACGGGGTGACAGGGTCGCTGCATGGCTGTCGCCAACGAAGCTCCATGCAGTCGACCAGGATGCAGGGACTGATCATCCCTGTGCACCTGCATTTTCAACTGTTGACCAGGCTGTCCAATTTGCTCGGTTTGTTTTCATGGTCCTTACATGATGCTACCCCCAAACCTACTTTCCTCCAGCTGAGCTTGTCACTGCGCTGAGGTTAGAGATCGATTTCGAGATCACTTGAAAACACTGTTAAACCATACTGTTTTTTGCTGACTCTTTCACTCTGCGTTTCCCTCGCCCTTTTCGACTTGGGAACTGAGCTAACTGAAAGCCCATGTCAGAGTGTGTGCCGCTCTGCCGTCCCACTTGGGTGCAGGGCCCGTCACTGGGGCACTGTCTTCACTCCGGATTACCGTTTAACGGATTTAGCGGTTTACTGCACACGTTGGATTCTCTTAACCGATTTTTGTTTCACCTTTGTATTCCCAAAAACAAAAAGCCGCCGGGCTTCACGGAAATGCCAAGCCGCCGGCTCACGGAGACTAAACCCACACGCGTTCTCTACCCACACACCCAAACCCCCCCCTCCCTCTAATTAGGGTAACAGAGGGAAATGGTACTCGACACACTTGTGTGTCGGTGCCTTTCCCTCTGTTGTCCCTGTTCTAGTCTACTCTACCCGGGCGGTTTAAGACTAAAGTCCCGCTCCCTAACTATTGCACGTAGTTCGTTTCTGCTAAGTAGTCAGTAACTCTAGAGTGCTAAGTATTCATACACACACACGGCCACACACATGTACATACACTTCCCTGCCCCCCCCCCACTTTCCTTCTTGCGCTTTTGGTCGTTTCTTGGGCTTTCTCTCAGGCTTTTTGGGTTGCTCTTGAGGCTCGTTTCCCTATCCCAGTCAAGGGCTAAGTATTCACTTTTTTCTACACCTACCTTTCTCTCTTGCCCTCTTAGCGCTGCTCTTTCTGTGTTTCTTTCTTTTGTTTCTAAGGCTTTTTAGGTATCTATTCAGGTCGTTCACACGAGCGCCGCAAAGCGGCATCGTGTGTGTGTCAACCCCTGTTCCTAAGGGTTCTGTAATCCTGTTCAGCTACCACGGCAGGGGGATGCCCACACCTGAAGAGAGGGCATCTAACAAAGAGGCTCTTCAGGATGTGCTGATACCAGCAAGGACGCTTGCTGACGTACCTGCACCTGAAACTGTTGTTCACGCTTTTCCACTTTCGATTTGATTCATGGTGGTTCCTGCATGCTATCTCCCTAAACCCTTTCCTGCCACGTTTTGCCGCAGCTGATCGCCGCTTTCACTTGAGCGCGTTGAGAAACACTTGTTCAACAATACTGTTTTGCTGACTCATGCGCCTTTCCGTTCCCTCACCTTTTTCCACCTGGGAATTGAGTTAACAGCAAACCAATGTCAGAGTGTGTGTCTGTCTGTCTGTCTGTCTGTCTGTCTGTCTGTCTGTCTGTCT